ATAATAAATGAGGTTCTGTGTAATTAGCAAGAATTTTGAATTGATTTTGAAGGAGGAAAGTAAGAAACTAAGGAAATAGAAATAAGGGAGACGCGGGAGACGTAAATATCTTAGCGCAGAACAAGAATAAACAACTATGTATGTATAGCAAAAACGAGTAATAAAAATAAAATAAAACAAAATAAATTAAAAAGTAAATAACTCATTATTGCTGTAAGATATGACGTTAGAATAAGTGTTTGTGCGAGCACAGTCATAGTTTTGGGTGATGCTTTGAAAGTTTCAATTAAGTGCAAAAGATAATCAATGTGTATTAGGTGTATATACATAGTGAAGATAAAAAGAGACTGATAAGTTTTAATTCAGCGTAACACAAGTTATTGCCTTAATCCAAAGCTTCGTAATCTTAAAAATAATATTTATTTAGAAGGAAAAAAAAGGAGAGAGTAAAGAAATGAACACATAGTGAAAGGGTTCAACCATGATCATAATAGTGTAATGGATATAGACTTTTGAGATGAACAAATAATTTTAAAATAATAATAACAATAGTAACAATAATAATAAACCTTTACTGCACTCGGATAAATATGCGTAGAATTATGTAACAGTATACAGAGTGAAACCGGGTTGTAGTATAAACATTAGTGCGATAATAATAATTTACAGTGATGCTATCATAGTCACAATTAATTGCAAAGAATAATTAAATATAATTTAATATATTGTTTCTCGTTGAGTTAAATTCACTGTTTTGATCGTAAATTACGTATCAAAACTACTGTTTACACTTTAATTGAATTTATTTCAGTTAACTTGATAAGCCATAAGCCTTCTAGCGTTAGCTAAAAAGGTCGACGTAGACCGTGCCGGCAACATAGATACTGATAACGAAGATTGTATCAGTGTCGTAAAGGCTGCCATGACAGGCATTAGAAACCCAATTTTTCAACACGGAGTAAAAATTTGTACTCCGATGCAACCAATGAAGGCCATACCATTAAGTACTGTGGGAAAAATTGCTTTAGCAGCGACTGAGGACCCGGCTAGAACACTATCGTCCAGAGTAGTTCCAATCTGGATGCTGAGACTAGTGGGAAATGGATTACGCGGAAACGCAAGCAAGACATTAATCATTCAGGAAGCCATCAGCCTTCTAGCGTTAGCTAAAAAGGTCGACGTAGGCCGTACCGGCAACATGGATACTGATAATGAAGCTTGTATCAGTGTCGTAAATGCCACCATGGCAGGTACCACACACCCAATTTAGCAACATGAAGCAAAAATTTGTACTCCGGTACAACCAATGAAAGCCATGCCATTAAGTATTGAGGGACCAGTCGCTTTAGCAGCGACTGAGGACCCGGCTAGAACCACTATCGTCCAGAATAGTTCCAATCTGGATGCTGTGAATAGTAGCAAATGGATTACGCGGAAACGCAAAAGAGACGGAAAAATACCCAAAGAAAGCGCGCGTATAGTCGATGAGTCATCGTTGGACTCACGTCCTGAGCATCAGGCAACTCCACTAAAGTCCAAATGTAAGAACATATTTAATACTGTTGTGGATGGAAATAGTCTAACTTCACCAAATGTTGTTGTTAGTCACTCGCTCGACCCACATGACACTGTTATAAAGAAAGCTAACAGTAAGAAGCCAGTAGCTAACCGGCAGGATCTGTCATCACGGTCAAAGGCCGTGAACACGACTTTTAAGGCAGTTAAACAGATGCCTAGTGTAGTCATCTGGAACTTGGAAAAATCGAAAGACACCGATCCCGCTAAGAGACATGCCCACGACCTGCAGTTAGTGGGATCTCTCATTACAAATATACTGCCCGATGAGATCCCAGGGATATATATCTCGAAAGTCATCAGACTCGGTAAATATGTTGGAGGCGAAACCCAACCGAGAAGGATCCTTAAATTAGTACTCGGTAATTTTGAGGAAAGGGACGTAGTACTGAATAACGCACGCAAAATTCATGACTCGAACATTCGTATTCGACCTGACTGGCCACTTGAGGATCGGATCAAGTGGAAGAATGCCCTAACAGAGTTAAAAACTCGAAGGCTAAACGGTGAAGCGAACCTTACGATTAAGGGTTTTCGGGTAGTCAGGTCTTGGAAGCCAATGCTTAGGAGACCTGTGTGGGTAGAACGTATGTCTCCAAAAACACATTAAATGTGTGTTACACGAAGCCCGTAGTCTTCGGAATAAGATGTCTGAGCTAAGTTTGATGGTAGACGAATTAAATCCGGATATAATTGTTATCACCGAAACTTGGCTCACTGTAGATATAGACTGTTCTCCAGTCATTTCAGGCTACATCTGTGTCAGAAGTGATAGAGTTAGAAGTCGCAAAGGAGGAGGCATAATATTATATGTTAGGGACCACTTCCGCATTAACTCGATCATATCGGAGGCGCATGTAAGTGGTACGTGTGAGGTAGTATGTTGTACAATTAGGTCTAGAAACGGGTTAGTGACGATAGGAGGAATATATCGTAGTCCGTGTTGTCTCGCTGACGACTTTATCCTAAAACACGTCTGTTCTTGGAGTGAAGCAGAATGTTGTCTCATCGTTGGAGACTTCAATGCACCCCATATAAACTGGATAGAGCTCACAGCTCCAGGTGGGGGTTTTGATAGCGTCCTTCTGTCATCAATTATTCAATGTGCACTTGTACAATGTATCGTTAAGCCGACGCATATAGACTTGGAACATAATCCGTCATCGATAGACATTGTCCTCACACACCACTGTGAAGATATCGTCGACATTCAACAACTTCCCTCACTGGTGAATAGTGACCATGTCGTACTTTCCTTCAAGTTCCGGATACATGGTAAAGAATTTGGATCTGCTCCACCCCGTCCTAATATCTGGAGAGCTGATTTTCCGGCAATCAGGGACTATGCTATCTCAATTGACTGGTCGATCGATGCTGATGGATCGATTGATGATGCATGGAATTGGTTCAAGTCTACGTTCGAATCCGTAACTCAACCGTTTATCCCATGGTCAGCACGTGAGCTGTTACATTGCCCCCCATGGATTCATAAGGAAACCCGGAAGCTGTTGAAGCGTAGGAAACACTTCTGGGACTTATTCTTGTCAACAGGTCAGGCATCATTTAAGTGCGAATATAAAAAAATCCGGAATATATGTAAAAAGACCATAGCTAAATCCAGCACGGCTTACGAACGACAGTTGGCATACGATAGCCGTACCTGTCCGAAGCGACTGTTTTCGTATGTTAAAAGGCGGACGAAACGTAGTGATGGTATCCCCTCATTACTGTTAAGCGAAAATTGAGCTTTATTGGCTGAATCTGATCTAGCGAAAGCGGAGACATTTGCAAACTATTTCAGTGAAGTCTACTCTACGTGTAGTGTTACAACTACTTGTCCCGTTGACAATGAGATACCAGCCATAGGACCTTTACACGTGACAGAGAATATTGTTCTTCCTTTGATAACTAACCTAAAACCTTGTAAGATACCTGGCTCCGATGGGTGACACTCACGTTTGCTGTCATCGCTTGCGGACATTATCTCAAGACCGCTCACGATGCTCTTCAACATGTCCCTTTCACAGGCTCAACTACCTAGAGACTGGAAAGACGCCACAGTTAGTCCTGTATTTAAGGATGGTCAGAGACGGATCGTATCTAACTACCTGCCTGTTACCTGGACCAGTATAGTAGTTAAGTTACTTGAAAAATTAATTCGGGCTAAGCTACTGAGTCACATAGATCCGTGCAATCTGTTAACTCCCAAGCAACATGGGTTTCGTAACAAGCATTCATGCTTGACTAACTTACTCATTGCGAGAGAGGATTGGACAGCTGCCCTAGACAACGGCCAGTCTGTCGACGTGATATTCATAGATTTTAGCAAAGCGTTTGATAAGGTTTCACACTTAGGTCTTATGCAAAAGTTCTCGAGCTTTGGTATAACAGGTGCCATACAGGAATGGATAGGAAGCTTCTTATGTGACCGCAGACAGAGAGTAAGGGTCAATGGAACGCTATCCGAATGGAAACCGGTCAAAAGTGGTGTACCCCAAGGCACCATCTTGGGCCCTTTACTTTTCCTTCTGTATATTAATGAACTACCTTTATTACTTAAGTCGTCGACGTTATTGTTTGCGGATGCGTCAAAATTTGGAGAACGATAAGAAATGAGACTGATCGTTGTTATCTGCAAGCAGATTTAGACGAATTAGTTAGGTGGGCTCATGATTGCGGCCTGGAAGTTAATTCCAGGAAGAGCGTGTTCATGCATATCGGGCACGATATTAGTTGCCATTATACCATTAATGGTACATATCTGCCACGCGTTAAAGAGCACAAAGACTTTGGAGTAATTATAAGTCATGACTTAAAAACTACTACGCACTGCAATGCGATTGCTTCCAAAGGCGTTTAAAACGTCTAAACCTTTTCCCCTTATCCTATCGTAGGACACGAGGTGACCTTATACTGGCATTTCGTATCTTTAATTATGATCTGGGTGTTAATATGTCTTATGTTTTTGCTCCCTCCAGCACTAATAATCTCCGGGGTCATAGCAAGAAGGTTCTGAAACCGCGATCTGATAAACTAAAGGTGGGGTCCCATTTTTCTCATCGAGTGGTCAATGACTGGAACGCTTTACCAGAATAAGTGGTATCAACACCATCAGTGAACATTTTCAAAAAGAAGCTGGACCTTCACTGGAGGGAAATCTGTCAGGATTAACACATGTTTATCAGCCTACTATCCTTATTACTGCAGACTAAAGACTAGACTCAGTGATGAAATAAGGGCCAAATCATCGAGTTGGTATTAATATTTTGAACCTACTTGCAACAACGAAGAAAGGAAACAGCAAAATACTGATGATGGCAGTCCAACACACACCCAACAGAGCCTCAACAACTCAAATACGGAATGACCGCCTCTTGTCAGGCTTTTCAAGGTCGCTAAAACGAAACGGCGGGCAAGTTTGAAAAGGCACTGAATTATCTACCTTGACCTTATTCACCGTGCCTATTTTAGCAGTCGGTGTGAAGTCATTCCCATCCCACAATAGGATGTCTTCACGGTGTCACTGAACATTGGTGTTCATGTTGCGGCGCTCCATTCTTACTCTATTCTTGTAACGGTATTATAGATCATTACATGCGACGTCGCATGTAAAAAACAAACGTTATAACGTTTGTTTTTCTCATCTCAGGGCAACAAAAAGTAAACGTACTGGGATAGGTGGAACAAGACCTACGTAAGAAAACAAACTCACATTAGTAACGTTTCATGGAATGATTTTTAATGCCGTTACATTCGACTAGCGTTTAAGTAGACTCGTCGCTCAAGCGTTCCAGATATTTGGAAATCAGGAACACACCACCTTGTGTCATCAGGGAGTTAATAGCCCGATGGAAAGAACAAACAGAAATGTTTGTAGCGGGTTGAATTATTTGCCCGTAGTTTTGACTCCATGGAAATTTTAGGTTTTTGTTTCATTCCCACAAAGTTTTTAGTGCAGCTTTTTAAAGATTTCCAAAAAACTGGTGACATTCCCCCTCGAAATTGATTATTTGGGCAGGACTGTCACAATTTGAGGCTTGCGTTACTTATGGCTGTTGTTTATTACTTTCTTTGTTTAATGTAAGTGCATTGTGTGCGCTTAATGGGTTGTCAACTTGCTTTTTCCGCTTTTTCTTTCCCATTCATCTTCACTTATGCTACTCTAGTACACAAAGTACCTTTCTCTTAGACGCGAACTGCCACACTAGTAAAGCTATTTTACCATCCTTCGTCAGCAAATCGTCGATTGTATGTTGGGATGAGATATCTCAATATATCTTAGCTTAGTGCATATCATTGCAGTGGGTCCACAGGTTCCTGATATGCCACCTAACTGTTTAGGAATAAAATACGTTTACCTGTTGAAGTACGAATACTCTTGTTAAACCCCGCTCGCCACCAAATTTTACGATGTACCATCAGAAGAAGGCATGGTATATTCATGTGTACAACCAAGCACTGAGGATGGTACCTCACGAAGAAAGGAGGTAGTGCAGCTTGAAAACTGCTGTTCAGTGTGAATAATATGTATCTGTTTTCCTATTTCAGGGCAACAAAGAGTTAATATCCTTGAAGTAGAAAGACTAGGCTTGTGTAAAGTGGACTTGTAAATGATATATGAAACTACTTGGTAAATAAGCTTTCCCTTTTGTAATAGATTAGAGTTGTTCGATTTTTTGAAATATATACGTTGTTCCTGGAACGTCATGTTCTCCCTCCTCGGACATTCACTGACCTTAGTTTGTATGTTGTTGTTTGTAGATCTCCCTTACCTTCAGATAAACGCCGATAACACGTTACAGTAAATTAAAGCACGTCAGTAGACTTTTTACAATGCTATCCGCGAGGGATTTTTATCGCTTGGAGAAACTAAGCAGTCAGGTAAGGATTTTTCTAAATTTACAATAAAATAGGATGAACTAAAGGTGACTTTCTTAGGGCATACTAGCGGAAAGTCGTGTGGCCTTCAGCAATAAGGTCGACCTGCCGATCGGTCAGTGTGTAGGGGATGACCATGTCCTTCATTGCAGAGACCATTCCTATTAAGTTTGGGTTTGTTTTTCAGTCTCCATGCGTATGGCAGGGTTCCACCTACCTAATGATATCTTCATTGTAGTTGACTAAATACATTTGTATCATAATGCAGCTGATAGTTGTCAACTAGGTTCGGTATGATTTGATAAACGTGCTAGATTGATATGTGCACCATTAATTCAGCAGTAGATTTTAGGTTTACCGGCCTAATCTAATGCTAAATTTTACTGATTGTAGGTTTTTAATTGTCTTGTGACCGTGGTATCGATCATTCTTATTCCAAGAGGAAATACGTGTTGACATGTAGGATGTTAGCCACAATGCGTCCGAAATCATATAGATCAGTCAGCTACAACGTAGGACCAGGCACATTTATGCATCGGTCCAAGTTGCCATACCTCGTTAGCACAACAAGATCAACACCGGGTTCATAGAAGTAATTAATTTAGTGGTGGTAGTAGTATATAAATTATAGGTTGTATATAAGGATATAGTACAGGAAGGAGGAGATATATGAAGCAATTTTAGTCTCAAGGTTTAAAGGAAGATAAAGAGTGTATACACCTACGCCATTGTGATCGATTCTGAGCCATTTCACCCAGAGTCTCCAACCATTGGTTACGATAGTCACGCGGACCCCAACCAGGTAGACTGCATCTACCAACATGGCTCAGACTAGAAGTTAGTGACTTCAAACACTGATGCCATGTTTTGGTTTGGCCGCCCCTAACTCTCTTCCAACAATCCCCTACACTAGTCATCATAGCGCGTCGTGGTAATCGGTGTTCAGGCATACGTAACACATGGCCCAACCATCTCAGTCGATGAAGATTCATCACCTCATCAACTGATTTACCATCGTTCCCTAATACCCTGCGTCTAACCTCACTATTACTTACCCGGTTATCCCAGCAGATGCGAGCAATATTTCTAAGGCATCTGTGGTCAAATACTAGTAACCTACGAGTATCTTCTACTCTTAATGGCCATGTTTCACAACCGTAAAGTAGAACAGAGCGAACTGATGCGCAGTATACTCGTCCTTTAATTGATAGACGGATATCTCGTCTTCGCCATAGGTGACGTAAGTTGGCAAAAACCAACGAGCTTTTCGAATCCGTGCTGAGATTTCGTCAGACACCAACCCATTAGGGCTGATCAGACTTCCAAGATAAGTGAAGTTGTCAACGCGTTCGACTACTTCACTCCCTATCCTTAGTTCAGGTGTTGATGTAGGCCAGTCCTGGAGTAACAATTTACATTTGGATGGGGAGAATCGCATCCCAAACATCCCGGCATTATTACTGAGTTCCAACAGAAGACTCTGCATTTTGCCAGCGTCTTCACCAAACAGGACTATGTCATCTGCGTATTCTAAGTCGATAAGTGAACCTCCTGGTAGAAGATCAACTCCTGAAAATTCAGTCGACGAGAGTGTTATTTCCAGCAACAGGTCTATAATGAAGTTAAACGAAAATGGGGATAGTGGACAGCCTTGACGGACACCACTTGAGGTTGTAAAATCATATGACAGTTCGCCATAAGCTCTCACTCGACTGGTAGTGTTCGAGTAAAGAGCCTTCACAAGGTTTATGTACTTCTCAGGTACACCTTTTAATGACAGACACTGCCACAGAACCTCTCGGTCTACAGAGTCAAATGCTGCTTTCAAGTCAATAAAAACTATCATTGTCGGACGCCGATAAGCGTGTCTGTGCTCTAAAACTTGACGAATGGTGAATATGTGGTCGATACAGCCACAACCAGGTCTGAAGCCAGCCTGATTTTCTCGTGTTTGCAGTTCACGAGTCTTAGTTAGGTGCCCGATAATTATTGAGGCTAGTATTTTAGATGCTATGTTAGTCAGACTAATCCCTCTATGGTTATCTCAGGATGATTTTGACCCCTTTTTATATATTGGGACAATCAGTGATTGTGACCAGTCGGATGGGATTACATCCGTCTCCCAGATTTTAGCCAGAATATTAGTCAACCTAATCGCTAAAATCGGACCACCATATTTAAAGACTTCTGGAGTCAATCCATCTGGACCAGCTGCTCTTCCTCGTTTCAGATTACCTATAGCCTTTTGAACTTCAAGTAGGGTCGGGGGGCCTACTTCAATGTTCCATTCAGGTTTTCTAGGAATAGTGGGTAGTTGTGCAGTAGCTGAAGGCCAGCTAAACTGCTCCTTAAAGTGTTCCGCCCATCGTTCTAAACGTTTGGGTTGAGAGCAGATAAGGGTTCCGTCTTTTTCGGAGATTGTCTCACTTACACTTGACTTCTTAATTCCGGTTTCTTTTATTAGTCTGAATAGTTGCCTGGTGTTCCCTACAGCCGCTGCCTTTTCCATCTCTTTTGCTTTCGTTGCCCACCACTGCTCACGATCGTTCCTTAGACTTTTAGTTAACCTAGATCTAATTTGTTTACGCTCTTCGTCATGTTCAGAGCCTGATGGGATGAGTTTACGCGAATCTATCAGTGAAATAGACTTAGAAGAAATCCATTGGTTTTTTGGAGCCCTATGGTTCAAATGACTAATAGATGTAACTGCTGTTTCCACAGCTGTTCGTATGTCTTTCCAAGCAGCATCTGTGTCAGTCTTGTTTACAGAACTGCCTAGCTGTGAACTCAGTTGTTTCTGGAATTCGAATTTGGCTTTCTCGTCCTCCAGTTCAATCCTAATGGGTCTTCTTAGTGTACTTTTCCTGCGTCCATTGAGGCGCAGACAAATGCGCGCTCGTATTAAAGCGTGGTCAGAGTCTAAACAAGTATTCCAATACGAGCGACAATCTTCTATTGAGCCTCTCCAACGATGACTGATGACAATATGGTCTATTTGAGTCTATCGTTGGTTTGGTGCAGGTGGTCGCCATGTTAGACGATGTCTCTCCTTATGTTTAAAATTAGTGCTTGCTAAAAATAAACGATTGTCTGAGCATAGTTGCAACAGACGATCACCATTATCGGTTCGTTGAGCCGGAATACTAAAACACCCACCTAAATGTCTTTCTGTTTGATTTAAGCTGCCTACCTGGGCATTAAAGTCACCCGCTATGAGTACTATGTCTGAGCGCTTAGCTTTCTGAAGAAGCTCAGAGAGCTTTCTGTAAAAGTCATCTTTCATTTCATCATGGCTGCAGTGGGTGGGAGCGTAGGCAGAAACGACGAAAAGGCAACGACGTGTGTCCCTATCCTTCCGAGTTCTTACGGAGCCATTCAGCCGGACAGCACACAGGCGACTGTTAACGGGGATCCATTCTAATAGTCCCTGTTCTGCCCTTGTACTTAGTGCTATGCCTACACCTGCAAGTCCGCGAGAACTAGCCAACGGGTCGCCAGATACACGGAGGGTGTATTTCGTTGGCTGTCCATTTTGGCGAGGTGAGGTCAAGTGAATGACCACACTGGGATCCTCTATGCGTGTTTCGGAGACACAGCATACATCAATGGTACGAGATTCTAGGGTTTTAGCTAAGGAGGCCTGTTGACCGATTTGGCATAGGGTACGTACGTTGAAGGCTCCAATGTGTAGTTTGGAGCGAGGTTTAAGTAGACCTGGGACAGCGTTCCGCGCACTAGAATCGTTGGCCATGGTGACACTTGAGGAGGAAACCGGAACAGGAAGTTTAGTGTTGAAAGTCAAGGTAGAAGTAATAGTAGGAATTGAAGGAGATTGATTATGAATACAGTGGTCTTGAGTGCTGTTAGAGGTACGAGGGCAGTTATCACTTCCCGGTTGCCCACACCGTGTAAGGGTTCTCCTGGGGGTACCTGAAAAGGAAATTGGGTTAGAAGTGGTCTTAATGACCTGAGAGCGTGACCGCAGTGCCCAAGGGACAACTGCTTAAGGTCGGTCACACACTACCTTTTTGTGGGTAGTTTTTGTGTTAGCTCCGTTCTTCAAAAAAGAACCTTACCGCCGGAGACGGATATCCGTGGGATAAGGCGAGGTGTGCATTTTTAGGGCCGACTTTTTCTAACCCCACCCCTCCTTGTGGGAAGGCAGCATCGCTGTCATGCTGGTTGTCTGAAGGAAACACCTTACTGCCGTCACACCTCTGTACAGTCGACAGTACGACTTCGCCTTCGGACCTTGGGTTTGCTGCTTTTAGTCTCACTGCTCTTCAACCGACCTGTCTGACATGGTAGGACCTTGAGGAACGATTGTTCCAGCCAGCATGGCTCGATCGCTTCATCACGATAGGCATGCCCGACCACCACGTCAAGGTAGCAGCAACGGTCGGGTAGATAATAAATAAAAACACTGATTGGATGCTAAAATGCAGCGTTCTAGTTGAAATCTTACGTATGTGGGTTTTGAAATACATAGGTTAGACTTTGCTATTAACTTCCAAACTTTCTTTTTCTCAGGACATCAGTTTCGTACTTCACCTGTATTTATTTTAGGGTAAAGTTAAAAGCTCAGAAGAAGGTATGTCACTGACGGAAAAATTAATCAGATCATTGGATACACTAAATGGCCCTTGCAGTGTAAATAAAATTTCAAAACCTTTAGCCTCTGGAACATCGAATCAACTAAACGAAAAAAGTAATACTAAGAAGAAACGGAGGAGAAGACAGCGTAAATTCTCAGGAAATGATGTGTCCTTTGCGACAGATGTTGGCTGTTCTAAAACTAGAGATCTCGAATCCAATCTAAACAATGCAGATTTAACTTCTGAATCTGATCAAGAATTTCAAGATTTACATCCAAAGAAACAAAAGTGTGATCTTAAACAGGTATTAGACAGTAATACGATTGCTGAAAAAGACTGTATACAGTCTCCTAAAAACGGTATTTTGAATGCCCCATTCCGCTCTGAGACTTTGTCAGTATCTTCGAAACAGATTACCAGTAGCTTAAATCCTTTGAAACAAGGTGAACAATTACTCAAAGAAATACTGGAGCCGATTGCGTTAGAAGAATTTTTCAGGTTTGTTTAGTAATTTCATTTGATTTTCTATTGCACTAAATAGATTTTTGTACTAATCAGCATTTTATTCATGAGGCGATTGTTTCCCCTTCTTTATAGAAAATAACTAGCAACGACGTACCATTTTTAATAAACTCTCTAAGTCGGTAACAATGCTTAATGGGACAAAACAAGAATTCAGAAGAGAAAGCCTTAATTATTGAAGAAAAAACGTCCTATAAGTAATGTAGCACTTATTTTATTAGTAAAACAATGACAAGCAAAGATATCAGTGTGATAGATTTGTAACCATTAATTAATAATTTCGCTCCCCTTTACTTGTCTTATGCATTGTTTCCATTAAGTATTCCTGCTAGAGCAAATATCAAGTGTGATAGATCGCCTAAGGATAAAATTTCAGTCAGCTCGTCATAAACAGTGTACAACCTTGCTCAGATGTTTATCAACTCGTGTTAACATAATAATATGAAATTAATGAAATGAATATTAAAGTGATTGGAATAGCAATAGTATCTTTGATTGTAAAGCAGACAAAACACGTATTTTGTTCTAAAAGAAGGAATGTTTTGGTGGAATGAAAATTGTGAAATAATATTTAGACTAAAGATATAGTGAAAGTTAAGGAACTAACGCACCTGCGCCAGTGACTGGTTCTTGAACCATGTCACATATGTTCTTTAACCATCGATCACAAATGATTCACAGACAATCAGATGGTGTGCACTAATCCACACATATCCTAACAGTTGATGACTTTATGGACCAATTGCATGTTGTGGTTTGTTCGCCTACAACTTTATTTGAACCCATTTCCACGTCAAACGACACTGGACGTCAAGATAAATGGTGGTTGAACATAGAAAACATGTAGAGAAACAGTCTCGTTAAGTGTATGCTCAAATACTCTTTTTGACTAATTTGCTTTTTGATCGCTGCCACCTAAACATAGTATTTTGACACTTAATGGACTTGTCATACCCTCTCATACAAACGTAACGTGTTAAAGCTAGTAATTGACCAGAAAGGTAAGTATGAGCATGAAATATAGTCAGAATCTAAGTGCTGCCAGCCTAATTCGAGTATTACACAAATTTGTAATAGAAAACAAACGATTTGTAAACCTGTGCTGGATATTAGACGACTGTCTGATCCTGTTATATCCCCCGGTGAATTACGAATGTTAACTTTTAGGTCTATTTATCGACCAATGTATTATGCCTATTTCCTATTGTACAATTGTTACGTAACTAAACGATTCATATTTGTGTTTCTCTTATCATGAGCTTTATTTTGATCTTTGATTTATTATCATACGATTCTTGAGTTATACTCAGTTATTGATTACTTTGGTTTGTATAAAAACCCAGTATGTTTGTAAATAATGATTCATACCACTGAGGCTGTTATTGGTGTTTTGGACTTAAGTGGCTGGGCTAGGCAGATCGCAGGACCGGTTGGCACTCTAGTTTGCTCGTACGGGTTTCGTGTCACTGTTCCAATCGACAATTCGCTGCTCCCTGTTAGGCGGTCTTATCGTTCACACATCAACTAGTCATCCACTCGGCCACAAGCATAACAGATCCATTATTATAGTTGTTTTGTGGTTAAGGTATTTCAAGCACATTGAAAGTGTGATTTTAAGTTCAATACCTGCATCATTTCGTTGCTCTTGCACAGTATCATACGCTATCGGAAATTTCAAACAAAACGTGGGTAATGATGGAAAAGATTTCCATCATAGATAGGCGCTTTTGTTATCGTTTTAGTATTCTCTGAACTGGATGGTTGCAATGTAGAGCCTCCGTTGTCATTCTTAATAACATCATCTGTTCATACTTCATACAGAAGTATATAATCTGGAATTCAACACAATAGTTTGTAAATATTAATTGGCTAGTAACGACAGGATAAATTTTATCATAGTCGGAAAATCCTTATTTCCATGGTAATGTTCGTAAAATAGTGACTAAGTGGTAGGAATCCTGACCACTGATGCTATCTTGACAGCCAGCATAACAGCGATGCTGTCTTTCAACAAGGAAGAGTGGGGTTAGTAGAGTTTGGCCCTAAAAATGCATACCTTGCCTTATCCCACGGATTTCCGTCTCCGGTGGTTATGTCTTGACAATTACGGAACTAACACGAAAGCTATTCGCAACATAGACATGTATGACTGGCCTCAAGCAGTTGTCCTTCGGGCACTGCGGTCACGCTATTGGGTCTCTGAGATCACCGCTAACCCAATTTCCTTTTTACGTACCTCTAGAGGAACCGTTCCATGATGTGGGCAATCGGGGATTACTAACCACCCTCAGATCTCTAACAACACTCAAGATCACTGTATGCATAGTCAATCTCCTTCTTCAAGTACTGTTATTCCTCCTACCTTGACTTTCAACTCTAAATTTCCTTCTCAAATGTCACCATGGCCAACGATTCTAGTGCGCGGAATACTGTCCTAGCTGTATTAAAACCCCACTCTAAACTACACCTTAGAGCCTTCAAAGGAAGAAACGTAGTGTGTGACGGTGAAATCATACTGTGGACTTTATAAGAGTGTGAGTGAAGTGATCTGTTTCCTTGAAGTCTCTAACTTCTGGTCTGAGCCATGTTGGTAGATGCAGACTACTTGGTTGGGGTCCTGGCGACTATCGTAACTAATGGTTGGGAACTCTGTGTGACATGGCTCAGAATTGATGACAATGGCGTAGGTGTATACACTTTTTGTCTTCCCTTAAACTGTGAGATTAAAATTGCTTTATACCTTTCTTTCAACTAACTAATTCTTTTTTCCTGCACTATATCCTTATACACAATCTTTTTTTTATATATTACTACCATTGAATTAGCTACTTCTATGAATCTTGTGTTGATCTTGATGTCCTAATGAGGTATGGCAACTTGGACCGATGCATATATGTGCCTGGTCCTACGTTGTAGTCGACTGAAGTGATAGAAATATATTAAACTTTCAAACAGTATACCTTAGATTCATGCCTTACTCCACGTAATTCGGTTTAAGCGGCCTGGTTATATCACTATCCCTCATTCGACACAGTATGGCTCAAATGTGAGTAATTAGAACCTATACTTTCTGAATTAGCTATAATATAATATTAATATACCGAGTTGTCTAATAATTTTTAATACTTTTTTGTTCATGTTAATCAGAGTAAATTATCAAAAAACTCCACTATATGTCAAACGTTCCAGTTCAAAATGTGGTGAATGGTTGAATTATTCTTTTGTGAAAAAATTGGTGGACAAGGTGAGCTATTTATAATTTCTCGAATTGTATAACCATCTTTTCTACGTCGTTAGTGGTTTACCGACTATGTGGAGAAACGCTAGAGTCGCTCACATATTTGTTTGGAAGCTAATGATACTGTCGGACTCCTCAAAGAGCAATGTGCAACAGGACATAAACTGGTGAACTACTGGTTGATAATTGAGTATCTCAATTATCGATTGTTTTCTCTTAGCTCTTGAACACTATGTTTTCACATTTCACTTATTTCCTATTTATTCCTTCAGTTTACTTCATTATTTCGGTTTCGATAATCCTTTAAAGCTTCGCTATTTGTAATTTTATTAATTTAGTCTAGGCTATCCATGTGTCTCAGTTTTTTTACTTTCACGATTTTAACAGGCATACTGTTGTGATTAGTTTTAAGCTAACAACACTATAATTTATATCGTGATTGTTTACATTACAAAGGAAGGCGGAATAATCCTGCACTTTTGTAATATACTTTATAAATAACTATATTGATGCATTATTCTGTATTTTATTAGTTAATGTCAATCATCTTAAGTCGATCTGGATTGAAGTTTGTACAGACATGACATCGTGTAGCTCCATGACCAAACCATCCAGCTCAGAGAACAAACCTACATCAAAATCACCCACCTGAGCTACAAATCTCCTCCTCCACCATTATTATTATTATTATTATTATTATTATTATTATTATTATTATTATTATTACCATTGTGTAATATTTACAATACATATTCTGTGAAAAAAAAACATTTTAAAAAATGAAATCAAACTATCTTATTTCTTTAAGGAATTTCTCTTTTTTGAACAACATGTGGATTTAATCGAAGACAAAACTCTGAAACATGAAATTGTTAATCCACCTGGTCGAGCTTTTGCTGGAACTGTATGGGAGCATTATTCTGTAAGTTTCATTTTTGTTGTTGTTGGAGAACTATCTAATAATTTCCTTTAAAAAAAACACTTAACATATATTTTCTATATCCTTTTCTTGTGTGAAGCTACTACTACTAATTTTTTTTTGACCACTCAGTCAGCCATTATCAACGTAGAACCTGACATGAGTGCGAATCTCTACCACTATGGGATTTGAATCGACAACTGCATCTCTGTGCTAATGTGGTATGGCAACTCGAACTGATGTACGTAAGTACGAAGTTCTACGTTGTGACTGACTGAGTGCGAATCTGTCGAAGTTGCCTTCAACTCAAGAAGTAATCAATTGAATGATGCGTTAATTGGAGTAACAATAGGAAGTTAAACAGTATAGGATCCAATCAAAGAATGTAAGGCTAGGAATAATTACTGAAGATGTGGGCCGGAATAGATAATAGATGCGAGTGTGCCACTGTGATCAATTTTGCCCCATGCCACTTAATATCTCTAAATCGTTGATTATGAGTGTTGCATAAGCCTAAGCTATAAAGTAAAAAAAACCTTTCGACATGACTCAGACTAGAAGTCACTGATGGATACCATTTCTTGATTTACCAAACCTTAGATTTGTTTCCAACCATATTGTGTCAACAAATATTTCACGTAAAGGTAATGGTCGGCTAGACATTCTCAATATATATCCTAACTATTTAAGCTGATGGAGATTTTTAGCCTTATCAATTGACTTATCTTTCTCGCCTATTTCTCTACACTTTACGCAAAGATTAATAACTTGGTGGTTCACCTACACACTAGCAATTCCTCGAAGACACCTATGATGATATCATACACATCTACTTTCATAGGCCATATTTCTCAACCGTACGGTAATACACAGCGAACTTTAGCATAGTATATTGCCCCCTTGGTTACAAATGAACATCTCTCTTCTCCACAGGTTGATCGGGCTAGTGAAATACAATCAAGCTTTTTGCATCCATGTCGCGACTTCGTCCTTCACTAGTCTGTCATAGCTGTGAAAACCCTTAATATAAATGTAGTGTTTCAGTTTCCCACTACTTTAATTTATGTGATCAGACTAGTCAATAAAGAAACTTTGATTAGATAAGTGATATAGATGACTTAGTTTGTTCTTAGATTACTAGAATGAAAATAATATTTCATTAAAAGGTATGTTGAATTCGTAATCCGCTAGTGTTAAGAAGCTATCGCTCTATAAAATCCATCATGTACAACCACGGGGACCAGGATATGGATTGATTGATTAAAGGGCAGCGACTTTAATCACTAAACCACCATCGTGACATTTCAGTTACTATTCATTTTTACAGTATATTATCCACCAGATTTTGTTCGTTTTTTATAGCAAGGAAAAGGAATACGTTTTCACAACCTTCAAACATTCTCCAGACGTCTCCGCTTTCGTGTAGGTCTTCTGCAAGAGTATTTCGGTTGTAATTTTACCGTCACTGCTTACTTGCTATCGTCGAAACCGACTGAATTATCTTTTGATCAGTTGGACCATGATTTATTTATTTTGCAGCAAGAAGGTTCACAAAAGTTTCAAATTTCAAGGTATAATTGAAGTTAGTTATTTACTTTCTAAAAAAAAATTTTCAAGTGACAACTTTGTGTAATTATGTACAGCATATTAAAATATTAAGTAGTTAAATGGAATGTGGATAGCAATCGATCCCACTGCTGTTCCATATTTTTGCAGACTGAATAGCTCAGTAATGACTTTTCTAACTGTAACTGACAGTGGATGAGGAAGTTTTAAATTAAACAAGGTAACATCATGCATTGGTTGCGTAGCTGTCCACACATTTAGCTTTCAACCAGTGTTGCATGTTTAAGCTTTTCTGTATCTACTTTGATGGTCTTCGCGGCTGAAAAGTGTCATTAGCCCTCAAGCAGTGTTAATATGAATCTATAATTGGTAAATGATCAGAAGCTCAACTATTAGGCAATATTTGTAATCTTTTCTTCACCCAACCAGCTTCATTTGCCTAAATAATATCATTATTCATAAAACAAAAGTAACTTTCTGCCTGGATTTAGTGTAACTACATCAGAGATTTGCAATTTGTTTAGTTGAAAAGTGTCAGTTAAAGATAAGTAGATGGGCCATTCGCGAGCACTTATTTTTAAGCCATAAATAATTAAATAAATTTTATCTATACAACTTTGTAATTAATATGAAGTGAATGGATCAGAGTTCAAATGTATAATAGATTGATCACTTTATCAATAAACTACCAAGCACTCCATCAGCATTATAACTAGTGATATCAGAATCAATTAGTTAGTTGTCGACAACGTAAGACCTGGAGCAACTTAGCACATTTTATTATCAACAACAGTGCAGGAAACTGAAGGAAGATGAAGTAGTGGTCCAACGTTGAATCTGACTGACTGACTGAGTGTTACAGCAAACTAAACGTTAATACATTATTCTTAACAAACCATTACAATAAACTGTAAATTATGGCGTCATAGTAGGAACTACGATCTAGCCGACAAGCAGACAGAAATCATCAACATAGAGCCTGACACAGATGTAAGTTAGCCCAAGTCGTCGTACCTGACTAGCACGAGATGAAAGTAACGAGATAAATCGAAATAAATAGCAACGACAAAAGAAACTAAACACTGGGAATATGATTTAAAAAGTCATAGTGAAAAAATGTGTATGGAAGGATAGTAGAATTCAAGATAGTGAATGAATGCATCTGGGCTTTTGTGAACGACTTCAAGCCAGGTCAACCGGAGTCTTCAACCATTGATCTTGGCTATCACGCGGACTCCAACCAGTTTAGTCTGCAACTACAAACGTGGCTCAAACAATTAGTCAGTGACTTGACCAATTGACTCCACGTATTGGTTTGGTCGCCCCTTGTTTCATAACAACTTATTTCAGTACCAGAAAGCATCATTCGCCTAGGTAGGTGATGTCAGGTATACACATGTTCTAACCACCTCCATGAATAACAATTCAGTTCCTGACCAACTGGTTCACCACCTCTACCAAATGCTCTATAAGAATATTTGATATATGTAGACCTGTGTTTCGTCAGTTGATTTAAAAAAAATTAACATCACTGGCAGCGATACTATACGTTTTCCGAAACTGATATAGATTGAGTGGGATTCGAGTTTGCAATCAAGTGATTGAACAATTGAATCACCATTGTTCAGTCACAAGATTTTATAAGTTTTATTCTTAACTTGGATCATAAGCCAGAAAAGTCTGAAAAATCTCAATAAGTTAAGTGTAGTTTATGTAATTTTTTGAGGAAATGTTTCCTGTTTTCTTCTTTGCAGTAATAAAACAAACTTGAAAGGTGGAAACAAAAGTACGTTTTTGATTTTTGAAAAAATTCTAATATGATTTAATTCATTCTGTATAATTGAAAGTTGGCGTTCAGTAGTTTATATGTGTGTATGTGTACTTCTGTATGATGGTTATTCATGGTGTCATTTGATTTTTGTCAAGTGAAGTATCTATTGGTCAATTTAGTATATCATTATTTATTATTGGTTGAACACACAAATATTGGTACAAGAAGGCATTGAATACATATGCTCCACAGCAGTCATTTGATTTGCCAGTCAGTCAGTCAGTCACAACGTAGAACTTCGTACATACGTACATCAGTTCGAGTTGCCATACCACATTAGCACAGAGATGCAGTCGTCGATTCAAATCCCATAGTGGTAGAAGTAGTAGGAGTATAATCAGAAATCCAAAAGATTAGGGTTTGAAGAAATTATTGAAGGAGTATAGTACAGTGAAATAAATTTGGAAAGAGAAAAAGATAAAGACATGAGGAATTCAGAAGATTATAATTTGGGAGAACACACACAGTGGATGCACCTTCGCCATTGCAAACGATTTTGAGCCATTTCATTCAAGGTCTCTAACCATCGGTTGCTGTCATCTCGCGAATCCCAACCAGGTAGTCTACACCTACCAACATGGCCCAGTCCACTTGTCAGTGACTTCATTGATTTGTGCCACGTTTTGGTCTGGCCACCCCTAGCTTTCTTCCAACCTACTCCTACACCATGAAACATTGCACGTCGGGGCAGTCGGTGGTCCGGCATACGTAACACATGTCCCAGCCATCTCAACTGATGAAGTTTCACTACTTCATCAATCGATTTGCCATCCCTACCTAGTACTCGTTTCCTAACAACTGCATTACTTACCCGGTGGTCCCAGGATATACGAGCAATGCTTCGAAGACATCTGTGATCGAACACTAGTAGCCTACGAATACTTGATTTGTATGTGGTCTGTGATACTGCTCGTGTGCCCAGACCGAAGCAGGTAGTTTTTTAAGGGGCCACACCCGGAACCTTCGACCTAAAGGTCTGATACACAAGACAGTGGAGCAACGTAAGGAGATGCAATCCCATGGTAGCTGGTGACCAACAATAGGTTCATACGCCATTTTTTCCCTCAGGATACTGGAGCCCATGTGTATCACTGATTTAGAATCAGGGTTTTACAACTTCCCTAGGTGAACGCGCCGTGTCCGTCAATCTCGTTAAAGCGCCGGACATTCGCTTTTCGTCCTCTCAATTTCGTAAGCAACACCCCACCCTGGCATGGGAAGGTAGTGAGTAGGACTTTCCTGGCAGAGGCTGTATACGCCTGGCCATGTGAGAGCATTTCGAGAGGGAGAGCTGACTCTCCACACTCTCGGCCGTGCCAGGGTATTAGGGGGTAAGAGTCTAAGTGCCCAGCCGGGATAGTATATAAGCATAAAAGAATACAAGGACAGTAACAACTGATCTGAATAGTGGAAATTCGTTTCATGATTACAAATATTGTGTCAATTTCACTTAGGCCACCTGACACATTAGTTGCTACGTAAGCTTATTCAAATTGCCGCTTTATCATTTCCAAAATGGATTCATTATATAATTATTATGCAGAAGCGGATTTTTCTCTTATCTAAAATTGATATAACTATGTTAGATCCTATTCATTCGGCTTTTAACCATTTGGTTGTAGATTCGAACTCTCATCCGATACAATTTTTTTGGTCTGACAGGTGATCTCAATAGTGCACATTAATTTCAACGTAGAGCTAAGTCAGTTAACCAAATCAGAAGTATAATGACTTGTCACGTCTTAATTGCTCACTCTGTGGAAGAATATCTCCTCTTCAGAGACCTAAAAATAAACCTGGGTTAGGGGAGTGGTCGTTATGACCTAGGACAGTGAACGCTATGTCTGAAGGATAACCACTTAAGAATGATCACAAACAACGCTTTTGCAAGTAGTTTCAAACAAGTGAGCTCCGTACTTTAAAGGCCTTATCTTGGACGACGAAAATTCGTGGATTAAGTTGGAATTTCTAAGCCTATTGCCGACCTTCATCGTTTTCCCATTATATGAGAGCAGCATCACTGTAAGTGCTGGCGGCTTGAGTAGAACATCTTACTGCTGTCATACCTCTGTACAGTTGCCAGTAAGACTTTGCTGTCGGACTGCCAGTTTACTACCTTAAGTCCTATTGTTCTTCAACTGATCTGCTTGGGATGGTAGGAGCTAAAGAGAAGAGTATCCCAGTCAATGTAGCTGGATTGGAACATCACGGTAGGCGAACTTCTCTGTCTCATCAAGGTAGCAGCTACGGTTGATAATTAGAGAGACATCTACGTCGTTATTGAGTCTGATTATTTCTAACAATATACACCATTCGTATTTTATAGTCTTGTTGCTGTTAATTACTACTATTCCACTGAATAGTTTCTTTCTGTCTTTCTTACTGTGATTTAGATGTTTCGTTGGTGAAGTTAAAACCGGGAGATTTACTTTATATTCCTAAAGGATTTGCTTACACTATGTCACATGCTAATAGTAAAAATAAGCATACACTACATCTCTGCATCAGTTTTAATCAAAAATATAATTGGGGCGATTATCTGTCTGAAGTAAATCAGTTTATTATTTTCAATTGTCAATAATTATTTGTCGTAACTTTTCATCATTTTATGAGTGATTTGACATTTGAGCAATGGCTTTTTAGTATTGAAGTCATTTGACTTTAAAACCACTTAGTTACTAGTTCTAAATCTTGTATCATCTAGCTCTTATACCTCAATTATAACTGAGTACTTTGATTATGCATTTGGTGAATAAATAACATTATGTGACACATGATAATGTGTTACGTATACCTGAACACCGATTACCACGATGCGCTATGCTGACTAGTATTGGCGATGGTCGGAAGAAAGTTAGGGGCGGCCAAACTGAAACGTGGCATCGGTGCTTGAAGTCATTAACTTCTAGTCTGAGCCATGTTGGTAGATGCAGACTACTTGGTTGGGGTCCGCGTGACTATCGTAACTAATGGTTGGGAACTCAGTGTGACATGGTTCAGAATCGATCACAATTGCGTAGGTGTATACACTTTCTATCTTCCCTTAAACCTTGAGATTAAAATTGCTTCATATCTGTCTTCCTTCCTATAATATATCCTTATATACAACCTTTCTTTCATATATTACCACCACTAAATTAACTACTTCTATGAATCCGGTGTTCATCTTGTTGTGCTAACGAGGTATAGCAACTTGGACCGATGCATAAATGTGCCTGGTCCTACGTTGTAGCTGACTGACTGACTGTATCGAGTAATTTTAAGCGTATTAACTGTTTTATCTTGATTGGAAACACTTTTACCTCAAAATCACTTGCCTAATTCGTAGGAATATTATGTAAATAAGATCCTGTTACTCAACAGTTTATTTAAGTTCATGACAGAAATCATTTCATCCATGGATGTTCAGACAGCTAGGATATCCGGCCTTATCTGCTAAAAATATCAGTGGTAGTAATTATCCAAATGGGATTATATTTAGCTTTCCAAACCCTGATTTTTTTAGTTAATCATACTGATAATATTGTATCATCACCTTTAAGACACCAAGAATTACGTAGCTATTTTCTGCTCTTCTTCGTAGCTTCGAGTTTGTTATGGATTTTTCAACTTTGTTTTTTTAAGGTTGGAGAATGATATTGACCTCATATTCAGGCTGTTGATGAGTGCGTAAGGGTTGTAGGTTAGCGATATTGACTGCGGTGCAAGTAACTCAATGGTGCCCCCAAAAGCCCTAGTACGCCCAAGTGTGGGGAGAGTCCGCTCTCCCTCTCGAAATGCTCTCACATGGCCACGCGAATATATAGCCTCTGCCAGGGAAGTCCTACTCACTGCCTTCTCGTGGCAACGGTGTTGTTTACGAAAGTGAGAGGACGAAGAGCGAATGTCGGTCGCTTTAACCAGGTTGGTGGACATGGAGGGTCTACCTAGGGGAGTTGGAAAACCCTGATTCCAAACCAACGGTGCACATGGGCTCCAGGATCCTGATGGAACGAATGGCGTATGAACCTATTGTTGGTCACTGGCTAACATGGGACTGCATCTCCTCACGATGCTCCACTGCCTTGTGGATCAGACCTTTAGGTCAAAGGCTCCGGGTGTGGCTCCCTAAGAAAACCAACTGCTTCAGTCTGGGCACCCGGGAAGTATCACAGCCCTCACACAAATGAAATGAGATTTGTGGGGCGCATATTTATCTGGTGCTTTTTGTACCAATATTTATGTGTTTAAATAAAATAAAAACTCAATGGCTTAAAACGTTATCGGATATGGCTGAGAACAGAAGCCAATAGCGGTCTTGCTGTAGTTTTCCTTCACATTCTTCATAAAAGTTAGAGGAACTTTTTTGACTGAAATGTTTCTGTTTATATTTTTCACGACTGAAATATTTATTAAAAACTGTTGTCTTTCACTGACTTATTTACTTTTATTGTACTTCTTCCTTCCCCTATATCTGCACAATTTTACTTTTTTTATTTGTGTGGCTCATATTTATTTTGGCACCCATATCTACCAGTATTTATGTGTGCTTGTCTTCACATCTGGTTTCCCTTTGTTTATATATAAAATTGACTTTTTATTTATATTTCAGTTGTTACCAATTATGATGAAGAATGTTGTGGAAAATGATCCAGAATTTGATAAACCACTTCCTATTAATTCTTTTAAACACCTTGGAATATTTTTTAATAAAGATGCAGCGAATAAACATGTAAGTGATCACCCCATTCCTATCTCATGAATATTGCGATCGTTCTTAGTTTAAATTCAGTTTTATTTTTCATTTGATTATGATAATAGGTAGCTTATGCTAAGTAAGCCTAGCATATCAACTAACCATGATATTGTGAGGCCACATGATATAAGGAAGTTGTAAGTGTATAAGCCAAACGAACAAGGGATAAAACCACAAAACGATAATACGAACCAATATAGGGATGTATAATTTGCTACATTAAAAACATTATCAAGGTACACTTAGTATTATTCACCCCATTGCACAAGCAAGTGGCTATCAGGACTCAGTGACCGAGTGGATAACGCGATGGCGTTTAGAGCGAAAGGTACTGGGTTCGAGTCCCTGAGTGAATTTCAACTCTGAGATGCAGGTACATCCAGCTGACGAGTCTCAAATAGGACGAAGCGCGCTTCCTGGATTCCATTGCTAGCCACTATCCATCTTTGCTTAATATCAAGATAGCTTATCACTCATTTATTTGCTTATATATTATGGTACATATATATATGCTTGTTGCCAAGAGAAATTATGTACATACTTTGTAATGCGATCATCAAAGCTAGATATGTTTTAATTATGGTTATTTACCAAAATGATAAAACTTCAGTCTAATAATTGAAATACTGAACTTTCGACCGTTACAAGTTCAAACTGGGTCTCACTTCACTATAGACAACTAAGTAATTTTACTAGTTTTCATACGAAAATATGGCTAGAATTCAGTTTCGTTGAATAATTCTATATGAAGTGAAAAAAAGTTAATCTATTACCTTTTTACCAATAATCAATTCCTTCAGTCGTCTATGCCCCCAAATGCCCTGGTACGGCCGAGAGTGGGGAGAGTCACCCCTCCCTCTCGAAATGCTCTCATATGGCCACGCGTATATAGCCTCTGCCAGGGAAGTCCTACTCACTACCTTCTCGTGGTGGGATGGGGAGTAGTTTACGAAATCGAGAGGACGAAAAGCGAATGTCGGACTCTTTAACAAGATTGATGGACACGACGCGTCCACCTAGGGAAGATGGAAAACCCTGATTCCAAATCACTGGTGCACATGGGCTCCAGTATCCTAAGGGAACAAATGGCTTATGAATCAATCGTCAGTCACCGGCTATCATGGGACTGCATCTTCTCACGATGCTCGACTGCCTTGTGTATCAGACCTTTAGGTCGAAGATTCCGAGTGTGTCCCCCTAAGAAAACCACCTACTTCAGTTTGGTCATCTGGTCAGTATCACAGACCACACACAAATCGAATGTGGCGCATATGTATCTGGTGCTTCCTTGTACCAATATTTATGTGCTTATATCAATAAATAAATCAGTCATTCATGCAAAATATCTAGTTGTCTGAATTATTTACTATTCACTTAAAGGCAATTGAATTTGAAAAAGAATTTCGTGTACAAACTATCCAACTATTGAAACGTTTAATCAGTAAAATTGAACAACGTCAAACATTTCCAATTCGAAGATCAAAAACTATTTATACATCAAACCAAGAAAAACAACAATCCTCTTTTGCTCCCTTCTCATTGTCAACAATAACAATGAAAGCAGAATCAACCAGTAAAGAAATTAATACAACAAAACAACAACCTAATCCTTATGATAATTTATTTATTCAATCAATTGATCCTTTATATTTGGCTATTGATAAAATAATGTTGAAAATAATGAGAGGAAGTTGTGCACCCGAATTGAGTGAAGGTATGGTTAATAGTTACATTTGGTTATGTGTGTTTGTATTTCCCATTATTATTGTGCGATTGATCAGTCTTTATTAGTATAGTTACATGCTAATTGTATTGCCTAAATGTTGCTATTTAGTTACAAGTGTAGTGTGGGTTACTTATATCCACATCAGTAGTATATTACGATGGTCGGGCATTGAATGTATTTCAGTAGAAGATCGATAAGGAAAGAATGGGAACGAAGCGCACTTGGTGGGAAAATGCATGGACAATAATGGTCGGAGACGATGAATTGATATTTACAGAAGGGATGGTCAAAATTGAGTCAATTGATTGATAATTTGCAAATTAACTATTTACTGTATGGTTATCAGATCTTAGTACCATAGTTCGTAATTTGTGCTTGAATACATTCGATTGTCCCTACTCGTGTTCTTGTTCACTATACAAGTAGCTAGTAGTAGAATCTTATGTTTCGTCTCATTTCGAATGGATGTACCTGCAGTTACATTCCTGAATATCACATAAATGAAAACTGTGTAGCTTCTCAAACAAATTCCATACTCGTTTCACAAACAAATAACCATCTCGATTCCTTACGTCAGTGGACAACATCAATATTAGAATGCAGGTAAATCGAGATACGGAGTCCTGAATAGGACGAAATGCAAGTCCTGAGTTCCACTACTAGCTAATGTTCTAGGATTTAGAAGATATTAAGGAAGTTTTAACCTTTAAAATTATTTCAGTGACAATTACTATACATATTTTTATTGTCATATAATTGCACTACTGTATTTCTCTATTCTCCGTAATGTAAATCTTCTTTAGACGCATTAACTGTTGTTATGCGTTGTAATATTCCTTAATTGCATGGTTAATTAGTGATTCAGTTCTTGCTTTGCTGTCTATCAGTTTTGGTTTAAGTATGCATAAATTATTGTTTCTGATTTGTAATTTGATACGGTCTGCTAACTCATGTTTATCAATACAAGAGTGTTAGAAGTAAAATGAACCTGAACCAATATGCGCCAAGAATTATCTCGGTTAATATTCAAGGTTGTTTTCAGTCAATGTGATTATTCCAACAATTGTTAATCTTATCAAAGTTAGAGGATAGTTATTTTTGTTATTATTACTTGAATGTTTCTAATTCATTTTTCCAGATGAACTAATACGTTCGATTTTCAAACAGGGAAGCGACAAATCGAATCAATTAACTATTCATAGTAAAATTCGTTTGATTCGTTCAACAGCGATACGATTAATGTTGACTTATTTTGAAAATAAAGAATCTAATACTGTCACTGATGATAATACTTCCAATAGACAGCATTCTATAATTCCCTCATTTATGGTATATCATTCTTTAAATAATCAAGGCAATAATACTGATAGTAATGCAAATGTGGGAATTGGTTTTCATAAGAAAGTAAGTTTTTTTCGTTTTAATTTTGAACTTCCATAGTTGGTGCCCCAAAACCCACCTATACTGTTTTAAGAATTTGAGATCATTTTTAATGTTTTCAACCGAATCTACGTCAAACTTCTCGACTTTCATTTTATTTGTAAGATTGTCTACTGCATTACACTTTACTCTTCTTAACAAACCTATATAAACATTTATAAGAAAACATTGTGTCGGCACAAATACGAGTTAAGATGAAACCTAGATCCCGCGTTCTTTTTTACCTATTACCGTAAACTATCCAATATCAAATAAAGATTTTTCAGAATTCCCTATATCTTAACTACAAAGAAAAAACAACACCATATAGTAGGTAAGAAGCATAGTTTAATTTTAAAAAATTAGTCGTGTCCTTGAGTAATGCCGTGTATGTAGGGGATAGGGTAGCTATCAGAACGTGTAGCAATGTTTAATGCTCGGAAGTTGCCACATGGTCTTCAACTAACCTCATCCTTTTTGTTAACCATGTGGAGAGGTGAGACCCAGAGACTGTGAAAAAAAACGAAGAGTACCAGTAGCTATTAAATGGTCAAACTCACGTTTAGCGAAATCTAATTTGTCCGGTGTCAGTCGACGACGTTTTGCTGTGACTGGGGTCCGCGGGTGTGCCACACCATTGGTCACCGATGGGATCTTGGGAGGTTTCGTTAGTTTGGGGAATTTCATGGAAAAAAGTGTGAAAAATACATCGTCATGCGAATGAAATACACCTGTGATTTGGTACGCGCTTTTTTGAGTTTTGAAGCCCATGAGATGGTGGAGAAGATTTGTAGCTCAGGTGGGTGATTTTGATGTAGGACCAAACCATCCAGCTCACAGAACAAACCTACATCATAAAGCCCATGAATTTACTATTCGAAAAAGTATCGATTAGCTGCACTTTACGTGAATGGACTAGCAATTCATAGTGCTGTAGGAAATTGATACCGAGTATGGCTGTGGGAACATCGACCCTCTGAGCTAAGATCATGTGTAGTATCTGTTCTTTGCAGTGTAATTTCTGCAACGGTCTATAAACTGAGACCAATGAAATTTCCTGTATTTTTCACCTACGGACGGCGGCTGTGAGCTTGCTCAGCCCTGTCCAAGACCGAGAGTGTGGAGAGTCAGCTCTCCCTCTCGAAATGTTCTCATATAGACCCGCGTATACCGCCACTGATCAGGGAATTACTACTCACTGCCTTGTCGTGAAGGTTTGGGGTGTTCAAATGATAAACTGACGTCATTATTCAGTGTTGCATATGGAAGTGGCGTTTACTTAACGTAAAAACCGATAACATGTTGAACAACTGTAATCAAGTCCCTATTGTTCTATTGTGTACATTATTTTAAAACTGGACTGTTATTTATAATTTTCTACAGACGGTACACACCTGTTCAACTAGTATATGATAAACGTTTCACAAACATGACACATTCATGACTAGTTTACTAATTTGTCTTATCTGTTCAATGCTATCTTTAATGTGATTTTTTTTCTTTTTTTGTCATCCAGTTCCTTATCGCCCTCAGTCATCTCATTCGTAAATATCCTATGTTCATTCCTATTCGTTGTTTGCCATTGGAAAAGCATACAGATTGTGTAAGTTTAATTTGCTTGTACAAGTGTTAGTAGTAATAGTAGTAAATGTTGGTATTTTATGTTAAATAAAACTTATTTCTATTCAAGATTATCATCCCAGCCATAAATGTTAGAGAAAGGTCATTAACCCCTTTTAATAAATGTTCTCTCAACTCATACAGATACACATACCCAGGGTAGGATATATCTTTTCAGTGGAGGAAACCATAAAAGCCCCGGGACAGAGTATTTCATTCTGTTCTTATTAAGACGTAGATATGAAAGCTACGGTAGAGTGGTGTATTAGTTTGATTTCTATTGATTCCCTATGTTGTTTCATGAGACCCAGCTACACTATCCCAAAGGTATAACTAGGTTAGGGTTGGATAATTAACTATTTGCATAGACTTGAACTACATAAATCTATTCAATGGGAAAAATTATCCATTATAGTATACATTTGGATTGATACGTGTTTTCTGTTCAAGGTACCATGTTGTTTCCAACTGACAGATTGTTGGTGTTAATTGAATTCGTTCATTAATTCATTATGTTTTTGTGATATAGATTTTAAATGTACATATTACCATACTGTGCCAGTCACAACGTAGAAATTTGTATGTACGTACATCAGTTCGAGTCGCCATACCACATTAGCACAGAGATGCAGTTGTCGATTCATCAAATCCCATAGTGGTAGAAGTAGTAAGAGTATAAGCATTATGTGAAAGATTAGGGTTTGAAGATGTTAATAATACAGCGGAATAAATTTGAAAAGAGAAAAAGGATAGGGACATGAAGAATTCGGAAGATTAGAATTTGGGAGAACACAAAGAGTGGATGCACCTTCGCCATTGTAAACGATTTTGAGCCATGTCATTCAAGATCTCTAACCATTGATTGCTATCATCTCGCGCATACGAACCAAGTTTCACTACTTCATCAATCGATCTGCCATCCTTACCTACTACCCGTTTCCTAACAACTGCATTACTTACCCGGTGGTCCCAGGATATACGAGCAATGCTTCGAAGACACCTATGAAGGATTTGAATGTAACCAATTTGGTCTTGGGTGCAGTTACGGGTATGAGGGCTAATACCGCTTCCCGGCTGCCAACACTGTGGAAGGGACTATAGTGTATAAAGGTAGAGAAGTCAAACGAAATTATTTAATTGGTGGTGTGTACTGCACTCTTATACATGCGAATTCAATGAATCTCGTACAAACGTTTGTCTTCATAAGTTTCGCATCAACAATGAAATGATATGAACTGGGAGATGGCTTTTTTATAACTAGCATCGATGCTTCATAGCCAAACTGTTATTGTGCCACAACTTCCACAGACATTAAATAAAATCTGATAATACTGTTTCGATTACACTGTTCACGTTAATTGACGAAGTATTTTATGAACACATCTGTCTTAGAAAAATGGGATTTTTGTATTTGGTTATAGGAATGTCTTATGTGCTAGATGACGGTGCATCTTATTCTCAATTTTGTGCTGTAGTTAATTTCAGAAGTTGTTTTTATGTAGCTCATGAGTCAATTAAATCTAGACTGCCATCGAAAACCTGGAAGCACTGAACGGCCTTTTCGTCCTATTGTGGGACTCCTCAGCAGTGCGCATTCACGATCCTGCTTTCGCGAGATTCGAACCCAGGACCTACCAGTCTCGCGCCAGAGCACTTAACCGATAGACCACTGAGCCGGCAGCCAACCGTGTTAATGTCTAACTTCAACCAATCCACGAAATTGAGCAACCGTTCACCAATTGTCTTTAGTGAGTTGATATCTCACGACAGACGTGGTTTGAACTCCACTGATCACTGCTTCTCACTAGAACTCCAGGAAGTACCTCACGGAGCCTATTACTAGTGAGCATATGATTATTATCAGAAGGGGGCGAGGTCGTGGATGTGCACTTCTGAAGAGTCCCACGAGAGGACGAAACGGCGATCCAGTGCTTCCAGGTTTTCGATGGTGGTCTAGCTTCAATCAACTCATGTTCTCAACGATATAAAATCTCCACAAAACCCCTTTCTGAAGTTGTTTTTTATTCAAACTGATTGACTTATGGTGAATTTGAATAATCAAATTACAAATTTAAATCCGTTCTATCTACATAAATGTGGCTAGATAAGTAAAATTATCACTAGCTGTTCTTCCTTTCAAAAAGCATAATATATGTGAGTACGTACATAAGCTGACGAAAAGTAATAATTATGTAATGGTTGTCTTAATAATATCTAGACACAATTCAAATCATAAGCATATCAGAGCTGAGTTAGTTATTGTAATGGTTCAATTTATTCATCAGTTATTGAAAGTCTTCTTATGTAGCTTTCATTAACTTTACGTGTATGTTTTTTCTTTTTTGGCTATTCGCCAGTTGAATGTAGCAATTACATTTTACAAATTAGGATTTATTATTACAGAACATAAAGTGCATCAAATTAATGATGACGGTGAGGAGAATACTACCGGAGAAACTAATGTAGACTATGTAAATGTATCTGATTCACATCATGATTCTGGATCTGAGATAGGCGAAATGCCGAAACACCCCTCTTCATTAGTCAAGAATATTAAATACAAAAGAATTAACCGTGGAGTGACCAATTTAGGAGTTAAAGATGACCAGTGTTCCATCGATGTTAATGATGAAGATAATTTAACTGATGACGAGGACGACGATTGCATCATAACTGAAAATTGAGAAAAATAATTTTTTGGTGTATAGAGAAGTTGTTGTACATTTTTCGATCATTGTGTATTCACAAAACGAGAAGCTGAACAACGAGTAAATCTCCCCCTATTTTGTTGGTACATCTCATTAAATAATAAATATTGTACTATTATGCAAAATACTTATTCCTTTTTTTGTTCAACAAATTTCCTACAACATAACGGTCTATTTACCACTGGTAATTACAATCAAGAGAACGATGAAAGTGGTATTAATAGATGAGCATCTTAATAGTATGTTTGGATATTGAAGGCGTTTTCCTTTGATAACGAGGAACTTTTACCGTTCATAACAACGGTTGTGATGAAGGTTTACAGTGTAGCATTGGTTGCGCACTCATGTGTTTTATTTTAGTGGTAATGCATCGAGCTTACTTATGATTAAATACCTACAAACCACAGTTTCCATACATGTAAAATAAATATTGTGCAGCGGCGGTACATATACTAAAATTGGAACGATACAGAGAAAATCCCATCTGAGCTATTTCAGCACGAACAAGATCCGTCAATCGACTGATTGGTTGATTACCAGCTACACAATAGGTTTGTGGTAACGATTCAGGTATATTATCATAACCGAATGCAATTCCAACATCTTCAGCTATATCACATGCATGCAAAATGTCATGCCTTGTAGGTGGTATGCTTACTGAGATTAGACCAGTTGCATTTTGACCTAGAACAAAATAAAGAGAAAACTGACTAAAAATATTGATTCATATGAATCTTTTTTTGAGAAAAAGGGTATCCCAGATGTTTGGAATTGATTGACAAACAACAATTATCTGTAACATTTTTATTGTAAAGGTTTGCAATCCTATATTGTTGATGTTCTGGGCTGTAATTGATTAGTCCCTGTTATCATATGTGTATCCTGAGGGAATTGTCTTGGTATAACCTTTGTCGCAAGTTTTAGCTTAGTTGGTACTTGATAAGCAGTGGAAACCAGAATGTACATTTTGTTCTATTTGAGACTTGTCAGTTGGAATGTAACTGCATTCTAGTGGTGATATTCGCACTATGACTTGAATCTGGTGTTGTCCATTGAGGTACAGAGTTCCGATAATATACATAAGAATAGACATTGATCAATTGCAGTTTTGAATATCAAAAAACAGGGAATTACAGATCCTTACTAATGCCTACATACCCGTTGATCATATTAGTTGTTAACTGGACTTAACAGCTCAGTAGATCGTTTATTGCATTTGAAACGAAAAGTGCTGGTTTTGAGTCTTAGTATGAATATCAACACTTGGATGCAAATAAATCCAGATGATAAGTCTCAAAAAGGACAAAACGCAAGTTCCAAATCCCACAGCTACTCGCTATCCAATTTTATCAAAAGAATATTCATAATGTTGAGGAAGCGCGTTTACCAGGCAGATTCATACATGCATCCCTTGAGATATGTGATTGTTTCAATATTTTATCAGACGACGATATAGATGATTAAAAGAAATAGACTGATGAAGATAATTTTGTGAACACTATGTTATACCATAACTCCGCCTGTAGCTCTTCTAGAGTTACTGCCGGTCCCAAGCTCGGGTAAAGGAGGAGGGTTGGGTATGGGGTTAGCGACCCCATCCCGTAGAAAAGCTAACTCGCTAAAAAACGCTAACCAGAAAAAATAATTCAAACCATTTAAACTCTGACCTGGGAGTAGAAGGAATAATTATGACATCTCATGATGAAAGCCGAAATTCTTCGGAAGTCACGATACCGATGCACCTTCCAACAACCAGAGCAACACTCTTTATAGGTACATGGAACGTCCGGACAATGTGGGATACAGAAAAGACCTGCCAAATAGCAAACCCACTGGACAACAAAGTCTAGGTACAGGAGAGATGCTGCTGTATTCCGGTCACGAAGGGGAAAATGCTCCACACACTCAGGGAGTTGCTCTAATGTTGTCCAAAGAAGCACGAAATGCACTTGTGGGATGGGAATCTCATGGACCCAGGATAATCAAAGCATCATTCAGAACAAAGAAGCAAGGGATCACAATGAACGTTATCCAATGTTATGCACCCACCAATGATATCAATGACGATGATAAAGACCAGTTCTATGAAAGGCTGCAATCAATTGTAGCAAAGTGCTCACGAAAGGACCTCACCATCCTTATGGGGGATCTAAATGCTAAAGTTGGAGTGGAAAACACAGGATATGAAGATATAATCGGACGACATGGACTAGGAGAAAGAAATGAAAATGGGAGAGACTTGCAAACCTATGTGCATTCAACAAATTGGTTATAGGTGGCGCAATATTCCCACACAAGCGCATACACAAAGCTACATGGATCTCACCGGACCAAACCACAGAGAACCAGATAGATCACATCTGTATCAACAAAAAATTCCGAAGATCAATGGAAGGTGTGAGGACCCGGAGAGGAGCTGACATAGCTTCAGATCACCACCTGGTTGTGGCCAAGATGAGACTGAAGCTAAAGAAACACTGGACAAACAGCACTACAACGGTTCAATACAGCCTTCCTTCGAGATATGATACAACGAAGAAATTGGCAGGGAGATATAGCAAACCAGAGAGACCAGTCAAAGACAAAGAAGGAAAGACAATCACTGAGATTCAGGAACAGAGGAAAAGATGGGCAGAATACTTTGAGGAACTGCTGAATAGATCAGCCCATTGAATTCACCGAACATCGAAGCAGCAAACACTGACCTTCCATTAGATGTCACTCCACCAACGATCGAAGAAGTCAAGATGGCCATCAAACAAATCTAAAGTGGGAAGCGGCAGGACCTGACAATATACCAGCAGAAGCATTGAAGTCAGACATTGAAATGACTGCAAACATGCTTCACCTTCTATTCAAGAAGATTTGGGAAGAGGAACAAGTGCCAATGGAATGGAAAGAAGGATATCTCATCAAGATACCAAAGAAAGGAGATCTGAGCGAATGCGAGAACTACAGAGGTATCAGTCTGTTATCAGTACCAGGAAAAGTCTTCAACAGAGTGCTGCTGAATCGGATGAAAAACGCAGTAGATGCCGAACTTAGGGATCATCAGGCTGGATTCTGTAAGGATCGGTCGTGCACAGACCAGATTGCGACACGGGATCGTCGTTGAACAATCAATTGAATGGAACTCATCATTATACGTCAACTCCATTGACTATGAGAAGGCGCTTGACAGTATGGACAGCAGAACATTATGGAAACTTCTTCGACACCATGGATTTCCTCAGAAGATTCTCAACATTATCCAGAACTCATACGATGGACTAAAGTACAGAGTGCATGGAGGACAGCTGACAGAAGCATTTCCAGTAAGGACCGGAGTCAGACAAGGCTGTCTACTCTCCTCCTTTCTCTTTCTTCTGGTGATTGACTGGATTATGAAGACTTCGACATCTGAGGGGAAATACGGAATACAATGGACTTCTCAAAATCAATTAGATGATTTGGACTTCGCAGATCACCTAGCCCTCCTATCTCATACACACAAACAAATACAGACGGAGACAGCAAATGTAGCAACAGCCTCTGCATCAATAGTCCTCAACATACACAAAGGAAAAAGCAAGATTCTCAAATACAACACGGAGAACACCAACCCAATCACACTTGATGGCAAAACTTTGAAATAGGTGGAAACATTCACGTACCTGTGTAGCAGTATCGTTGATAAACAAGGAGGATCGGATGCAGATGTAAAGGCGAGGATTGGCAAAGCAAGGGCAGCATTCCTAGAGTTGAAGGACATATGGAACTCAAAACAACTATTAACCAATTTCAAGGTCAGAATCTTTAATACGAACGTCAAGACAGTCCTACTGTATGGAGCTGAAACGTGGAGAACTACTACGGCCATCATCAGGAAGGTACAAGTATTTATAAACAGTTGTCTACGCAAAATACTCAACATCCACTGGCCGGATACTATCAGTAACAGCGTTTTATGGGAGAGGACAAACCAGCTTCGAGCTGAAGAGGAAATTAGGAAAAGACGTTGGAAGTGGATCGGACATACATTAAGGAAATCACTAATGTGCATCACGACTCAATCCCTAACTTGGAATCCGGAAGGGAAGCGGAAAAGAGGAAGGCCAAAGAACACACTACGCCGGGAAATAGAAGCCGATATGAAAAGGTTGAATAGTAACTGGAAAGGTAGGCTCAGGACAGAGTTGGTTGGAGAATGCTGGTGAGGGGCCTATGCTCCTCGACGAGTGGTAATAGGCGTAAGTATTGATAATTGACCAAACGGTTTTGAGACTTTATGTAATTAGATCTACGGAGGACGACTAATTTAACAACTACACTGTAAAACTCTTCCTAAATAAACCACGCAAACCTCACATACCTATAGGTATGTGGAGTTGTGGTGTTGTTTGCCAGTTATTGAAATATTCTGTACTTGAAAAACATTGCAATTAATGAGTTTACTGTGAAGCATTTCTGTTCGTGAGATAGAGGATATTCGTGGGCTACTAGTATTCGATCATAGGTGTCTTCGAATCATTGCTCGTATATCCTGGGACCGCCGGGTAAGGAATATAGTTGCTAAGAAACGGGTACTAGGTAAGGATGGCAAATTAATTGATGAAGTAGTGAAACTTCATCAGTTGAGATGGCTGGGACACGTGTTACGTATGCCGGACCACCGACTGCCTCAACGTGCAATGTTTTATGGTGTAGGAGTAGGTTGGAAGAAAGCTAGGGGCGGTCAGACCAAAACGTGGCACAAATCAATGAAGTCACTGACAAGTGGACTGGGCCATGTTGGTAGGTGCAGACTACCTGGTTGTGATGCGCGAGATGATAGCAACCGATGGTTGGAGACCTTGAATGACATGGCTCAAAATCGTTTACAATGGCGAAGGTGCATCCACTCTTTGTGTTCTCCCAAATTCTAATCTTCCGAATTCTTCATGTCCCTATCCTTTTTCTCTTTTCAAATTTATTCCACTGTATTATTAACATCTTCAAACCCTAATCTTTCACATAATGCTTATACTCTTACTACTTCTACCACTATGGGATTTGATGAATCGACAACTGCATCTATGTGCTCAAGTGGTATGGGAACTCGAACTGATGTACGTACTGCCAAGGTTTACTTTGTGACTGACTGACTGAATGGGATTTTATTGAAAGAATAACATTGTTTAGAAAGAAAATCTATCAATTCGTAGGTTTTGCAAAATACTAAATCTCAGTAAACTCATTAGAAAATCCTTTATTTTGGAAAGACGACTGTTTTTTTTACATAATCAGTTTAAATATGTAACAGTCAAAGAAACACTTCGAGATCTAAATCTAAAGCTGAACAAGGCATTGTCAATTCAAAATTTCGTATAACATCAGGATGTAGAATACCTAATCGTCCAATAATTTTACTACCAGGCTCCAAAATAATATCAGCACAACGACCATCAAAATATGTTGGATCTAGAATAAAAAGTGTCAAATA